ATGTAGCATATATATATACATATATATAGATATATATATTCATCTATATATATATATATATATATATATATGTATATATATATATATATATATATATTGTGAGTTGAGATCCGTACCATTGTAAAATCAAAGCAAAAAACACAAAAAAAAAAACGAAAGAAAAATCGACCTACGGGAAGGAAACTACCCGCGTACTACTTCGTAGATTGCATGCGACTCGTCTTCAAATACGACCACAAAGATGATGCGCTTCTCGTGCAATGTGTTCCGGAGAAGTTCACGAATTATACCGACATCCTCTTCCGTCTAAGGTTTGTCCATTATTACTTCAATTTCAATTTCCATCTCCCTAATTATTATTATATTATTCATCACCAGGATTATTAAAAATAAAAATAAAAAAATCCCATGATTTGAATTATAAGAAAGAAAAAAATACTACTTAATTATCATTATTATTTGTTTTTTTTTTAATACTGAAAAATTATAGCTTATATTATAGTAATATTTTTTATTTATTAATTTATAGGGGCCTCGGTTGCTAATTTATAGGGGCCTCGGTTGCGTGCTTCGGAGGAAAAAAAGGTGGGATAAGAGACCATTGATAGATGTTGAACTTCAAGAAGATCAAGGACCGGTAGCAAATGTCACGGCGGCGGCACCACCACAGATTCAAGGCCTTAGGACTTTATTTTAGAAGAATTTCGAATTTTAATAAAATATTTAGAGTTTTCTCTATTTTTCTGGTGGATTCCAGAGTTTTTCGGTGGATTCCGAATGTTATTTTGTTCTATAGGATTAATTCGTAGAAATTAATTATTTACCGTGTTTCCGTTCTGCGTCAAAAATATTCTTCTATTGTTAAAAAAAAATCCATTTTTAATTTTTAAAACTTAGTTTAAAAATATACAATTTAAAATCTTTATTTTATTGGAACAAAAATTATTGCATACTTCACCAACATTTGCTTTAAAAAAAATACATAGATAAACATTAATATTTTCAATCTTTTATTTTATTGATAATGAAGTTTATATTAATAGATATTTATTTATATTATGTCATTAAACATATCATGTAATGATTTATTTATTATAAACAAAAAATCAGTTAATGATTTTATTGGTCCCCTAACAACTATAAATTGGCATAACTAGAAAGTCAACGAAACTGCATTATCAGTCGAGTTAGAAAGCGACACGTACACACCTAATGAAAAAGTCTCAATTATTGCACTAAAATTGCATATATATATATATATATATATATATATATATATATATATATATATATATATATATATATATATGTTAATTCAGCCCAAAACAACTCATGCAAAAGACATCTTTCAGATTATAGATTAAAATAATTATTTTTAAAAAGAAGCAAAAATATAAATTGCATCTGCAAACAACGAAAAATAACGTGTTATCGAAAGAAGTCCATAATTTGTTTGCAAAAGTTTTTACAAGTACAAATACTACCTAAATTGCCTTTCCTATAAATTTAAATACAATCGGTAGCACACGGTTTCATTTTTTTGACAAAATTTGACCTCCTACAATTTTGTATATATATAAATTTAAAAAAAAGGAGGTCGACGTCGATACATTTGAACGGTAGTATATTAAGAAGATGTGGTTGCCAAATTCGACTCTCGAACTATTATATTTTATAAGAAAATAAAATCTTATTTTTATACATCTTGAAAAAATCAGATTGAAATGGATAGAGAATATAACATTTCTTTATTTATTGGATCAATATATATAGCTGGAATTATTTTTATTTAAAATAAAAAGATACTAGGGTAGGGTTTTGCTGTGAAATTTGTCAACTATAATAATGTAATAATAATATGTTTAATTGCAATTTAGTCTCCTAATTTCAATAAGTTGAAAGCAACACCTTTCACTTTCGGTTTTAATTGAAAAATATTAATTTATTATTATTTTCATTAATAATTTATTTTTTAGAGAGAGAAATTGAAAAAGATAATAGTGGAGCCCCATAATGTCAAACCCACATGAAAACTAATTTACCGACCATGTCAACGGTCATAAGATACGGTGACACGTACATAGATATTATAAAAAAAAATTATTTGCAATTTCAATTAAAAAGTAATTAAATAATGCTATCAATTATTAATTTTCTCTATGTACATTGTATAGTCGACGAAACAATTCGGATCATAAAAGCATATACTAATTTAAAAAAGAACGACACACGTTACGGACGCGTGACAATAATTAACTATGTACAAATTAATCAACATTGTTATAAAAAAGAAAAAGAAAATTAAAATCCACCGTAAAATTGGATTAGATTAGGGCCCGTCTATCGAAATTTATTATAAATAGATCTTATCTCTGATAAGTTATTTTAATAGCTGATGACCTAGTATCGTAATATTTTTTGAATTAATTTTAAATAAACTATTTTAACTCATTATAAAATTTTAAATAAAAATTTATTTAGAATATAAATACTGATAAAAGATATCTAAATAGGTCTCTAAGGAGCTTATTGATCACATTTTAAAAAAACTTATAAGTCCTTTTTAACAACTTATAAGCTAAGAAAATGGGTTCTAACTTTATCACAACTCTGAATTTTAGGGAATAATCCAATTAACATTCGAGTTTAAATAAATTTGATTTTTTTTTATATATATATAAATTTCAATTTTTTCTGAAAACGACAAAAACTGATTTTTTGGCTCAATTTTGACTGCCGCCACAGAAAAGTACAATTTGCCCTCCACCAAAGAACAATTGAAGTTTTAAATTTCAATATTCAAACTTGCTAAGTAAAAAAAAACTCAAAATTATAAAATAAATAAATAGAAAAAAGGAAAAAAATAATGAAGGAGGATTGCAGAAAAGTCAGAAGATTGAATAAAGAATTGGAAAAAAAAAAGGGGAGCCAATAATCAAATCCTCTCTATAAATAAAAACAAAATACGGGCTTCAGTTTTCATTGCACAGAATCAAAACTAAACTGGTGAGTTCATATTTCTCATGTCTTAATTTCAACAATTACACACACTAATACACACTCACAAACACACACCTTTGCGTGTGTGTGTGTCTGTATCTATATATATATACAATGATTTAGAGAGGATATGCTGAGTGAAATCAATCAATTCTGGATAATGGGGTTGTTGTTATGCTAACCCTTTTTTCGACATTTTTGTTTTGTTTGATGTTTCTTTGTCCTGCTTTGTAGTTGCAATACGACGTCGTATTAATTATTTTGTTGAAAAGTTGTTTTTTTTCTTTGTTTTGAACAGTTGTGACATTTTTCTTGCCCTTATATTTATTGGTGATTCAAGAATTAGTTTTGAATTTTAGGGGTCGTCTGTACGATTTGGGACATGTTATATTTACCGATTTCTCCGATAAATGTATTAAAAAAATGGGGTTTTTTTTTAATTTTTTTTTTTTGGGATTAATTGCTGAATGGCTGCTATACATGACAGGTTTAGGATTGTAATATTTCTCGTTTTAGTTTGATTTCCCTTCTGATGATCTGATATTTGATTTAATAATTGGCGATTAATTTCGAGTTTTTTTTTTTTTTTTTTTTAATTTATGTAGGTTTTTGTATGGAGTTCTAGATTTATTTTTCTGCTGATTCTTGTAGTTGTATATATACATAATTACATATAATCTCTCTCTCTCTCTCTCTCTCTCTCTCTCTCTCTCTCTCTCTCTCTCTCTCACATGTATGTAACATATATACATTTGTTTTGTGATCTGCAGTAATTAGCAATTGTAAGTCGGTAACTCGATTATGCGGTCATTAGTCAACTTCTTCTGCTTGTCCAAATCCAAACGCCCCCCCGGTTTTGAAGAACATGCAATTCTTGCTTCCGAGACAGCTTGTCAGTTTAACTGAATTATTTTTTCTCATTTAATTTAATTCATTTTTAATTCATATTAATAATTCTAAAATTCGGTATTTGGTTGCAGTTAACGTTAACGAAGTAGATGCTCTGTATATCATGTTTGAGGAATTAAGCAGTTCCATAGTCGATGATGGTCTAATCCACAAGGTACTTTTTTCTTACCCCGAAAAATTCATGTGGCATTTTCGCTATTTATCTCGTTATTTTATTATTAATTATTGTTTTTATTATTTCAGGAAGAATTTTTGCTTGCGCTTTTCAACTGCAGCAGCAAGAAGAGTGTCCTTGCCGAAAAGGTTCGTATATATTTGTTTTCGCAATTTTTTGGTATTTATAATCAACAAATTTTGCTTAATAATACAATAAAAATGTGAAGTAAAAACCCCGTTTTATCACTTATGCAGTTGTTTGAGCTGTTTGATGTAAAGCATAACGGGGTAATTGAATTCGGAGAATTTGTTCGGTCGTTGAGCATATTCCACCCAGATGCTCCAGAGGCAGATAAAATAGCATGTTAGTGATTCTATTTTTCTTAAAAAAAAAAAACTTAATTCTTGCTAATAAAAATATTTAATAATGAATACAATTAATATATATATATATATATATATATATATATATATATATATATATATATATATATATATTGAGTAAATTTTTATATATTTTTATAATATATGAATATACAATTAATTGTCTTCAACAATTCACTGCAAAAATACTTAACACAAGATTTTTTTTTCGTTGCAGTTGCATTCAATTTATATGACCTCAGGCACACCGGCTATATAGAACGAGAAGAGGTGATTACTTTTTTTTTTATTTACAATATTGCTTTTTTTCACCGAAAATCATTTTGCATTATCCAACGAAAATAAACCACTAACCGAAGAACTGATTCGATTTTTAAACGTCTCTTATGATTTTTTTTTTCAATTTTTTTTTCAGTTAAAGGAAATGGTATTGGCTACTCTGAGTGAATCGGAATTATCACTTTCAGACGACGATGTTGAAGCCATAGTCGACAAGGTAATAAAAAAAAAAGTCGATCTATTTGTGGCAAACTTATCTGCTAAAGTCACAGCTAACTGGTTTACTGGTTTTATGACAGACGCTCCAAGAAGCAGACTCAAACGGAGATGGCAAAATCGACCCACAAGAGTGGAAACAAATGGTCAGAAAATACCCTTCCCTTATAAAGAACATGACTCTTCCATATCTAAGGTTCGTCTCACTACTCCCGAAATTCAAATATTTCTCGATAATAATAACTCAATTCAATTTCTTAATATTAAAACATTTTTTCTTAAATTATTACAGAGAGATTACTCTAGCGTTTCCGAGCTTCGTAATGGAGACTGAAGTCCCCGATTCAGATCTAGTTTGCTGAAAAAAAATTCACAAACAAATTGGGACGAGCGAATTTTTTTGCACATTATTATAGGGAAAAAAAAAGAGTTTGTATTTTCACCTCGTCATAGCAAAATTCGTCGAATCAAATGTACAATACTCTATTCGGAATATAATTTTTTTCGTCTTCTTGCCAACGGAGTTGTAAAACATGAATTCATTTATCAATGAAGTTGAGAAAAAAAAATGTTTATCTACAATTCTTTCAATACTCGATTTCGAAATCATCTATAGACACAATTTCATATACGAGCTAACATATCCTGCAAATTCATAGGGTAGCACATATTCGTGTGAAGTCCGGACCAAACGTTTTCCGCTAAAATCTTGTTAACAGCTTCGGTTGGATGAAACTGGTCCCACCAAAGATGATTAGAAGCATTTACACAAGCCATTTCAGACGAAATGCACATAATCCAACCCCCGTATTCCCCTAATCCACAACACGCATCACTCGTCACATTAAACCCTGCATAAAATCGAACCCCATTTAAAAAAAAAATTAGTACGAAAAAAATAATTTTTTTTTCAAGATTCTCACCATAGCGTTCGTGGTTCTTGATTATGTCCATGGAGCCCTCGAACGCATCGCAGAAAATCACGTTTGCTTCTAGAAGGTTCCGGTTCAGTTCCTCGACCAATGACCTCATAGCGAAATTGAACTCGATTATCATGTTATTTATCATCTCTATACACTTCCCGTTTTCGCTCTCGTACAACCATAAGTAATAAGGTGCGCAACCCAAAGGTGCAAGTCCCATTACAACCACGTTTCTCACATTTGCATTGTACAGATTCTGCATCGATAATTTATAGTAAAGAAAATTACGAAATAAAGCGGAAAAAATCGAGAAGGGGGTAAAGATTGATTTTTTATAACCTGAATTTGCTGCTTCATCGTCTCGGCTAGAAATTGGTTGAAGCTCCAAGGTAGATACAGAGATTGGACGTTAGATGCGTTTAGGAGATAGTAGTGTATGTAGTCGTTGCTTCCGATCGAAATGTAGAAAATCGATTTTGCGATTAGATCTCGTGCTGAATCCTCTCCCATGCTGAGAATGAACTGCTGGAATGTGTCCATAACTTGCTGAATTTGCTGAGTCAGCGAGATGTGTTGCCCCTGGGTTAAGTTTTCGGAAAATTACGGTGAATCGAAGAACTATGAAAAAATTGAAATGCAATAAGTGGGAAAATTGAGTACCAATTCAGAACCACTAGAAAATATTATTCCAGCACCGGCAGAAGCGTAATTAACCCCTCGTTTCATATCTTCGACGGAACCCGTTTGACCTAGATAACTCGGTACAAACGGCAGCCCTAGCCGCAATGCTGCTCAAATCGAAGAATGTACACAATTATTATTTCATGAAAAAAGGGGAAAATCATGAATTTGATGAAAAATTACAGAAATGCCCAATAGAAATTCATACTTCAAAACCCCCAAAATTACACTAACTAGAACAAACAAAAAAAACCCTAAATTACTTCACGAACGAATTCGTCAATTCAACAGAAACCCTAAAAATGAAAGTGCTTTTTTTTTTTTACCGATATAATCGACGGGAATTCTTCCATTGCAGAAGCGGCCGGTGGGCAGATGGGTATCGAAATCTCGGCCGTACGGAGGTCTGTCGGCGCGGGCGAAAGTGCCGAGATAATTGTTGGTGCCGCAGTCGACGGAAGAATCCCCAATTACGAACAGGGCGCGCGCCGGAGAAGAAGGGAGGGGCGGTGCTGCCGGCGGCGGAGTTGATTGGGTGGCGTTGGCGGTGTTCGTGAGATCGGGGAACAGTGCGTTAATGAGTTCTGGTGGGAATTCGAGAGCTGTAATCGGGTCAAGAAACAAGATTGCTGTGAGAATTGAGAGGATTTTGAGTACAGAGGATTTCATGATTCTCGTCGTTCTAGAGAGAGAGAGAGAGAGAGTGAGAGAGAGATATCTAATGGCGGGATTTTGAGACGGTTAAAAGAGGCTGCATTTCCAGAAATGCCCTTGAGCATGCAGATTGTTTTTTCTTCCCAATTCTTTATTTATTTAATTTTATTTTCCTCTCTCTTTTAATCATTTTGGAATTAATAGCCAATTAGGGGAAGAAACCGAACAAATCGCAATCACGATTAGCATTTTAAGTAAAAATCTATTGTTTTTTAAGTGAAAAAACTAATTTACACTAGGTTTCAAAAAATATAAAAATATTAGAAATTAAAGGTTTTAACACAATATGCTCAAGTTGGGACCATAAATGCATATTATTTTAATCAAATTTATTAATTTATAGAGATTTTATTATATTTCCAAGTCAAGTCAAGCTATGTCTTGTCATTCAAAGTAAGAATTCACTTTTTCTTTTATGGATGCACCTCAAATCAATCACATCTTTATTAAAGAAAATTTTACATCAATAATTTATTTCAAATACAATGCTACATTTCTTAAATTGAAATAATTCATTTTCACCTATTTAAAAAATAAATAAGATATAAATATTTGTTCAAATAGAAAATTCAATATAAAAAAATATGACAAATTACGGCCCCTCCCGTGGTATGATTAAATTATGAAAAAAATTATCTTTTGTTTGGCTAATTATAGCCACCCATTCTTTTGAATATTTTTAAATAAAATTTATGTAATTCAGTTATTATCGAACTAAATCGTAAATTCAGTTCAGTAAATAGTATAAAATGTCGGCGTACCGAAATTTCAGTTCGATTTTACCAATTTAATATTCATAAATTTACATATATGGAGTACTTTTGTAAAATAATACATAATTGAAGGAGTTGGCTGTAATTATCCAAACTGGAGGGACTTTTGTAATTTAACCATAAGTCGAGGTTTGGCCGTAATTTTCCCTAAAAAAGATACATATCAAGAAAAAACACACAACTCCGCCACAGTGATGAAATAATAGTACAAATCACCGCACAGTGTACAATCCACAGAGTAAAGAAAGAGCTGTTGCAAATCTGCAGAAAGATTCACAACACACTTCACTTTTTTCAGGCACAGGTTATCGATTTCTTCTTTGTAAAATGAAGGGCATGTGGTCCGATCACTTCGCCGCCGCCGATAAGCCATCGGAGGAGTCATCCCCTCCCTGCAAAACCCACGGCCTCTGGTCCGAAATCTTCCCCTCCGCCGACGAATCGACGCCGCCGCCTCCACCCCACCACGAAACGTGCTCCGCCGCCGTGGAACCGCCGCCACTATCCCGCTACGAAATGTTCTCCCCGGCGGCGCCGCCGCTTCCCCGCTACGAACGGTGCCTAATTTGCCCCAAATGTAACGCCGCAAGCTGCCGCCTTTTGACGTCTTCCACCACCCAAAACCCCGGCCGCCGGTTCTACATATGCCCCGCCCCCGCAAACAATGTCGGTTTGGTTTTTAGCTTTTTCCCCCTTTTTTCGATTTCTTCTGGGTTTATTAGGTCTTCTGATTTCTATATGTATATATATATATATAATTTTTAATTTCCGGAATTTGGAAATTCAGCACAAATTCTTCAAGTGGGCTGACGAGGTAAAACCTCACGAGTTAATCGATGTGCCCTACTGTGGTGGTTGTATGGCCGGCGTTTGCCGGGTCCGGAAGGTCACAAACGGGCCTAATTCGGGTCGGATCCTATTCCGGTGCAGAATTAAAGAGGCAAGTGTTTCTATTCAATGGAAGTATTTCCATCTTCCTGCAATTTACTGCTTATCAATGTTTGTTTTGGTGTCAATCGGTCTTCGGTTTTCATGATTAATAATAATATTCTCGAAACGAAACGAAAACGGAAAATTTAATAATATTTTTTGTATCGAACATGAGGCTGCTCTCCATTTCGATTTTCGGAGTTAAAAAAAAAAACAAACAAAATCGGGATATATTGTATTATGTTTGGTAATTTTTGTATCTAATTAATTTATCTACAGGGGGAAGGATCGTGTGGCTATAAAGTTTGGAAAGACGAGCTCGAAGTTTCATCGACTACCCAAGCCGACGTAAGGACTTGTTCGTTTCGGTCGACACTTTCAAACAGCAATAGCAGCACGAGCCCTGTGAGTATTGACCAAATCGATGAGGTGGCAGATTACGATTCGCCTGTAATTGACAACTCGCCATCTAATACGATCGAGCAATTGCAATCCGACAAACCTAGTGGATCTTTAAGGAGAGCTAACAAAAGATCTCGATATGGTGACCTAGAAGGTGACGAATTCTTCGTAATTCTATATAGCCATAATCGGAGTGCTTTTCTCGCGTGATTTATTTTAGTACCGAATGTATTAAGTGTTGTACTTTCGCAGCTCACTCACTTACGATACGCCTCGAGATTCTTGATCAATGGAGAAATGCTCGTTCAGATATGAACTCCGTGTCGATCGAACATTGTTGGAAAAAAGCAGCTGTTCGCCAAAATTTAAGTAGTGAACTTCTCGGTTGGTGGGGAAGGCTTGCTTTTCACCCGAAACCCTGCTTGTCAACTCATCCATCGAAACCATTCGCCCGTTGTACGTTTGTTATTTAATTTTTATTTTTTATTTTTTTGTAAATAATTTCTAATGATATCTCTTTTTTTTTTTTCCAGATGTTTCTTCTCCTTTGGAATCCTCTTCTGCAGTGGAAGACGGAACCCTAGTAAATTCGGGTGATTCGATCACACTAACTAGGAATCTTCTCGGATTTGAACCCCCACTTTTGAATCCGGATCAAGAAAACGAACTCTCTCGCATTAAACCAATTTGTGTTACTCCCAATACAAAACCCGACAATTTCATGTCGAAATCGATCTCAAAGGCGTTTAGTGAAGCTGCAGAGCATCTCCAAAATGACCTTCTTACCCTTTTGGAGAATATGGACGTGAAAGAACACGAGGCCATGACCGAGGCGGCCGAAGCCACGTTTGCCGCCCTAGACCGCTTGCTCATAAATCATCAAGAATTCAAGAAACGCGCAAACGAGTTCATCCACTGCGCGATGCTGTTGTCTGAAATCGAACAATCCATGCCCGAAAACGATTCTTACCAGAAGCTAGCCGAACATTGTACCGCCGAGAAAACGAGGCTAGACGAGATAAACTGCGTTCACACTGAGGTAGTCGATAATGTGACGAGCAGCAAGAAAAGGCTAAAACTTGCGCAGGAAGAAATTTCGTCCACAATGGATTTGCTTTTCCAGATTGAAGCCGAGTTATCGTGTTGTGAGGTTGAGCTGAAGAATATGGAGCACGAGCTCGAGAAAATATCCGAAAAAAAAGAAGTTTTGGAAGGAAATTATACGATTGCTTCTAAAGAACTGGAGTCGTCGTTGAAACTGCGCGAAAAGAAAGAAGCTGATCGGAATGCTGCTAAGGCTGCGTTCAATACGGCACGAGCTTTGCTCCGAGGGTAAAACCGTAAAAGTTGCATGCATCGTCGACTAAGTGTGTTTCGGTATAGTTAGTATTATTATATTATTATCTTTTATCTCGAGTAATTTAATTTAGCTTTTAGTATATGGTAATATATCCTTATGCATCATATATATTGACATTAATTAAAGGGTAAAATTCATTTTGCACCCCTGTACTATGATAAATATATCGTTTACCCCCCTGAAGTATTGAAAACATCAAATACCCCCCTGCCGTTAGTTTTTTTCTTCTAATTTCGTTAGTCAAACCCTTTGACCGACTATTGCAAAGAAATGTTGGCTTTTTTTTAACGAAAATACCCTTAAAAAATTTCTATATATAGAACTGAGAAGAACTGACCCAATCACTCCTTGCACGCGCTGACTGCCGTCTGGGCGATTCTTGAGTCTTTTT